GACCGCAGCCCTTGTAGTTAGATGAAGAGGAAACTTTTGTCAAGGATTTTGCAGCCACATTGTCAAGAGAGAGTGCTTCGCTGATGTAGCACCACTGCTCTTGGTCATATGTTTACACATCGTGATCAGGAGAATCCAGAAGCTCGGGAACACCATGAACAACTATGGTTTTCATGCTATCGCTAGTAGGAATGCCGCGTTAGTCACCTACTTCCTTTGGGCGATCTTTTCAAGGGAGCTCGGTTAATATGCGCACTCCGCTCCTTGAGTTGCGAAAACGAACTGCTGAGAACAGAACAGCCTCTGTCTCATCCGCTGAGTTCGGTGTTATTCAAAGAATTCGTGTTTCACCAGCGTGCACTAAGGTCGGGTGGCGCGCTAGGCGTCTCAGCATAGTACGCTGAACCCGAATACCAAGGCATCACAGATGGAACTCCAATGGTTGCGATCGTCCAGCAACGGGTCTTTTATTGTGTCAGATTTGGACTCGGGAATATTGGTGCACAACAGAGTTAAGGCAGCGTGGTTTTGTCTAGCGAGTATCGGTTTTAAAATCGTTGCTGGTAATTTGGGCTGTTCAGAAGACACCACTGGGGTTGACGGTGAAAGCTGCATGGCCCCACGTGTGTGCGGTACAGAAGCTGGACCTATGTGTGTCGCTCCCGGTGTGTTTATCGAGGCAATCACTGCGTACGTTACCTGCTTGTTACTAGCACCTTATTGCCTCCGACTCAGAGCTGTCGGTGTCATAGCGGAAGCTCCAGTAAGGCTTCTATGATTGCAGGAGTGGAAGAAGGCACATTTTAGGCTTGTCCGCTTATGGTAGTGAGATGACCGGGAGGATTTAGTGACACAGGCGCTGCAGGGAGGTGAGAATGTCTAACTCTCTTCTTCAGCTTAGAGTCGGAGATTATGTTGGCTAGTTGTGGTCTTAAGGTGGCCATATTTACCTTCAAGAGAGCGATCTTGGTATTTACAAAATGAGCGGTTATCTCAGTCATTCTATCGCACTTTTTCATGAGCAAAACTAAACAGTTGACAACTGGAAGGACTTGACATGGTGGGCAAAACCAAAATGTGTCAACAACTTTGTTTCGCTGTCGCATTTCTTGGACAGATTTGTCTATGCATTGCGGACAGAACGATCTTATGCAGCTAGAACGGCTTACCCCGCTCTTAAGGACTTTACCGCAATTCGCCGAGGAACATAGGCGACGCGCCATTAGAATGTTGATTGCCCGGTTATCGTTTGCAGCAAGGTCTGTCCGAGCGGTTTTGTGGCACTGGCGCTCACCCACAAACACGTCAAAACACGCACACGCTTTGAGAGTTGAGCAAAACGCATTAAGGTCAGGCAGCCGAGACAGATGTATGTCATACCGCCTCTCATGAGCGGCCGCGCGCAGACTGCAATGTTCAGCGGTCAAACGTCTCGCGGTTGAAGGTACACACTCACACGAAGCGGCCGCGTATTGATCAATGGGCGCTGATAAGCGTCCTCTAAGTGCCTCAGACGCGATGTTCAGTGGATGAGCGAAGCAAAATGACTGTAACTTTGTTATGCTACAACTTGCAGTGATTATTACCGAGTAGCTTGGGAGTCCTCAGGTTCTGCTTTCGAATGAAACCGTAAGGTATCCCGAAAAGCTCCAGAATGATGTGGTTACACACGTAGAACTCGACAAAGCCTATGCTAAAACTGAGAACTGGAGCAGGAGTATGATTCACACAAGTTAGATCCAAGAAACGGAAAGCACTGCTTAGAGCTCGTCAAACGGGTTCGAACGAGCCTACGCACAATATTGTGCCGGTAGAATTAGAGTGGCCACAGAGGGCGAAGCAAGACCCGCGTTAAAGTGCGGCCGTATAGCGTGGGTACGTACGCAATATGCGTCGAACATGGTCCTGTACTAGGCTAGTATAGCTTGCGGTACGTGTGCTGCTGTCCTATTAAATGCGGTCGAGTAAAATACGGTCCACACAGGCCTTCAGTGATTGACAATCCAGCTACTCTTCTGGCATCTGGGACTTCCGTGCCACAGTAAGAAGTGGACGAAAGTGAAGGTAAATAACTCTGTCTACATTTGCGCCAACCAACCCCCCTGTGGTGTGCACAAGCGTTGTGGCTACCCTAAGTGTTCATTGCACGTTCGATTGATTCACTTTATTTGGCTGTGATACTAGCTTCTTGGCACTGCTGTCGTGACCGAATGCTCAATCATTTGCAAATGTTTTCACCGTCTTTATTGAGCAGCGACGGCAAGAGAAAATCTGGACCGGCCCTGCCCAAACGGTTGTAAGATAGAACCAGATTTAGAGCTTCCAAGTTAACCGCTCTAAACTCAACCTGAATCACACGCACTCAAGGCAGCACAGAGGCAGGGTGCAAATTGAACTGTTCCTGAAAGGGCTCTACTCCGCAGTCCCGATGAAATTCCTCATAGCGAAATATACCAGCCGTTCCCCCCTTACTTATCACAATGATGTGTGATTTTTGTGGCTTCTGACTCGGGTTATTTGACGTTGCCTGCGACAGTCATCGAGAGATCCTCCTCCATTTCCTAGGCTCGCTGGGTCCATAATAACTTTTTATTGGCTCAAGACTCCTAGTTTAACGAGTACTTGACTTGGTTCTTATTGAGTAGTAGGGATTTTATTGTCATCATATGCGAAGAGCCGTCACAGTTAAACTCAACCAGACAGCTACCACACATTCAGAAAAGCGTTAGTAAAGCTCTAGATGGACAGTTGGCTCTAGTGGAACTCGTCAGTGATGCTCATCCGCCGGATCCTGCCGAATTTGAACTCGTGCACTTACTCTTACGGGTCAGCAACTTATGCCACTGAGCCATGAGTGACGGCGGAGTGCCGCAATGACTGATTTCTAAGTGCGATATAACACAGCTCATCCTCTATTGTCATGCATGTTAAGATTATACAAAGGACAGGACGCTTTCCTGAATGTGTGATGGTTGTCCAGCTGAGTCTAGCAGCGACGCATCTGCTCAAACAGCCTGCATCGCTGCCTTGTGGATGTTTGCCAATTTCACTAGGTCCATCGGTCTCTCGCATATTCGTCCTTTAAGGCTGTGACAATTACTAGTGCCGCAAGTTGAATACCCAACATCATGCATAGTAGCAGAATTCCTATTCCGTCTAGGTCTGACTATCTTAGAGTAAGAAAGCTAACACAGCTTACGAGCCAACCTGGTAAGCTTGTGGAGACGGGGGCTGCAACAACACCTGCGTCGTCAGTTTTAAGGCATTCGGTGTCCCTCCAATTGAATGCAAGGAAGGTCGGTGTTTGATTTTGCGATCACCAGAAGCAAGTTGTGTTCCAAAGACGGCAAAGAGCAAAGAAGAAACTATACCCCTTGTAAGCTAGAGCGATAAGAGGTATTCAGCCCATGGTTGCCAGTCGCGTCAAAAAAACTATGCAATGCATGGAGATCCATTGTGCTCGTAGTTATTCTACTTAGGAACCACCGGCAGCCGGTACGTAGCTGCAACAACCACCCAGCATTATTGCTTAGTTCGAAGGCAAGATGAACATTTCACAGATCTGAACTGTTGAGGAGTCGATTTGCTTGCGCAGGCACATACTCGACCATTATAACTATTAGAATGCCACTTAGCAAGTTATTAAGTTTGTGGTGGAATGTGTTGTTGAACGCCTCACAACTGCGGACAGCTAGTACACAAATGTTGGTTGCAAGCGGCATTATCTAGCGATGCTCCATCTGCCAAGATTAGCCGATGCTGTCGAAAGGGATGGGCACATACAGTTTTTTGTGACGAAACAAACAGTCAACTATGATTTCTTCTTGACCGAGCTGAGATTGATGTTTGCTTCGGTGTGACCTATGGTCGCTGCATCATCGCCTCTGGAGGATAAGCTAGGCGCGGTTGCCTCATACTTTCCGGGTTGACAGACGCAAAGCATGTCAATACCTAGGGTACCTATTGTGCGCGAAAGTGCAGCTTGTTGGTCTATCTGTTTTAGAGTACGAACGTGACCTACCAATGTGTTTCTGACGGGACGAGTTTAGTAGACGCTATGATGACGTATGTGGGAGGTAAATCTTCAGCCCTACTCCAACTGCCGTCATTTGTTCTAGGGTCTAAAGAAGCAAGAGGAACAAGTGGAACACTTTGTTAGGGAGGGAAGAACTAGTATTAATTTGTTTTCTATTATTTTGTCTGCCTTTTACAATATGATGAACCTTTTGCAACTAGATGACGGTCGATGCAGGAATAAGCTGCGTTCCTGCCATGGCGTCCGAAGCTGGACAGTAAAAATTAAGGGTTCTCAGTCAGGTCCCCGGCTTCAATACTTGACCATGAGGAACCGAGATTGTACTACTCGTTCACAAGAGGAACCAATTTTAAGAAACTGGGGGTTATCCATTTCCAAGCCCCAACCGGAATGACCATGCGACCAAGTTGTCCGATAGTTAACCGTTGACTAAACAGATAAGTACGGCAACCAAGAACATTATTTCGCACAGTTCAGTGAGTCTCTGAGTAATGCATCATATTGAATACAAGCTTGTTGCATAGTTTTAAATTTCACGGTACTAAAAGCTAAATGCAACTGGGTCACAAATAAGCTCACAATCTAGCGGTTTACAGGTCCCGCTGTGACCTAGTAGTTTCCATCCCCTCGTGGGCGGGGCCGCTTCCATCCTTTTAAGGTTTTCCGGCATTCTACGATTTTAATTAGTTTTGAAATAATGATACTACCGCCCGGTGTTATCCAGTCGATGGGTCCAACGATTATGAATTACATAAAAACCCAGCAAATGAGGCGTTCCTTTCAATTGCGCAGAAACTCATCCCAAATATCCTGTATGATTAATCAAGAAGCCGTTAGGCGGCGGTCCTCAACTGCGATAGGCCGAATGCTGTCAGTGTACTTAATCTACACTTTTAATGCATTACAGAACATTAAACTGCCGAAAATGACCGCGCGACTCAAGTCACTTCTCCACGACACGACCATGCTGATCGATTGCATTTTGGTCCGCACTGTCGATGCATCCCTACCCGTCACCGGAGGATCAGCGAAGAATGGACTGTCTGGTGGTACTTCCACGGGGTCTTTGGTTCCATTTTGCATAATCACGGCCTACCTGCCATCGGCTGGAGAATACGCCCTAGAGGTATATGGAGCACCAGCTGATTCTGAAGAGGATACGTCCTACTTTCTGGTAAGTTGAAAGATGCGCAGGTGACTAAGTCGCATGAGTCCACAAGGCGGTTTTCTCTGGAGTACAGTTTAGTAGAAAGTTTAGATACCCTCTCCCTCCTTCTTTTTTGGATACCATGTATCTCCTGATATCCCGTTACCAGTTGTATTTTGTGCGTGAGCTAAACTATGGCAGATCGCCCTCGGGTAGATGCTTACTCGATAATTATTCCACACCAAGCACGAAAGCCGTGCAACCGACTTATTTGTCATACTTATGCCAGTGGAACAGCGTTTACAACAACTGCTCATCACCTCTTTCCATAGGTGTGGCAGTTTATGATAGATGCGGACTGTGGTGTGTGCTTGTCGACTCCAGTGCGCAAACGTCTGGCCACGACCAACTTGGGTCCACAAGATGAGACATGGTCGCAACTGGGTATTCGAACAGTCAGCCACCCTGATCCTTTAATCCATGTACCGACGAAGGGCATTAGAGGTCTACAAAGGGCACGCAGCAAAAATGAACTGATGAAACAATTTGTCCAAAAGGCGGAGAAAGTCGACCACGACCATGCACGTCAAAGTCTTTCCGTTTCACATGGAAGCGATGCCGAGAAGGACGAGAATGCGGATGAACCAATCGGCCCACTCAGTTGTGACCTAAGGATTGTGTTGGAGAAGCCAGCGGCCAGCAAACTGTGCATTGTTGGTCAGCTGGTTGACATAAGTGAACCTACAGAGGAGGTAAGTTTGATCTGCATGAATACGTTTTTATTTCAAAAAGAAAACGCTATGCAATGTTTGTTGTACTTTCAAATCCCTTACTAAACTTTCACTAGGCTAATATTTGCCTCCTACCTGTAAAATACACCTTGGATAAACAATATCGCCCTTAGTAATGTAATGCATACGGTTAGGAACTAATGAGCTCCGCGTTTAGTGTACTGCATTACTTTGATAAACTTGTCATAGGTCACCCTAAATGGAATTTATCATCCCTGTTCGAGTGATAAACCCAGCACTTGGTGGTCTGAGTGTTCGCTGAGTTCGGCACTTTGACCGCAAATGTTTAGTCACCACCCGAGGTGACATCGTCAGTGCGTGTTTATGTAGCAGAGCGGCGCGATACGAAGCGTCAGTGAGTGTGAGTGATCGGTCTTCTAGCCGTCAGTCTGAGTTTGGATCGTTCGAGGGAACATGACCATCGAAATCGATCTCTGCTTCTTGCCTCGTAGCGTAGGCGCGCGTGCCTCTTCGGTTGTCGTAGTCCTTTGGCGAATTTGTTCTGTGACGAAACGTTTGCAGCCAAACTGCCGAGCTCAACGAACACAGACTACCAACAGAACAACCAGAACTACCAACATTTGATCTTGTATCGCATTCTTCAATGTTGCACCGAGGAAACCGAAGCTTCCGTTTCCACGGACTTTGTTCCGTTTCGTCAAAGATTCCGTTTTCAGAAGTCAGCGGTACTCGACAATTAGTAGCAAAATGTTAGTTTTCGCAAAAACTGTATTCACCCATTTACTTCCTACGGATTAGGTAGGGATTAGCAATTGTTTTATTTCCAAGCAGCCAGTTCAAATCAACCACTGGAGGCTTATTCCTCTGCCGTTTATACATTTTCTCAGTCAACTGCAGCCGTAGAACTTCCAAATTCCCCATTAAAACATCCTATTTATGGATAATTTCTCAAGATGGCGGTCAACGCAATCAAATTGAATCCAACGGGGGCAAAGAACCCTAAAAGCCACCGGTGATTGTGACCCTATAGTACAAATCTGTTACACAATCAGCTGATTGGTGATAGTCAACCAAAGAAGAGTACACCTTTGCACAGATAGTGTAGAGGAATAAGGCAGATTAGCGTTCATTTAGCTACCGTGGCTCCCTTATGGTGAACGCCAGTCATTTACGGTTGTTGGCCCCAACATCCAATAGCCATCCAATGTTAAGCGAACTTCGCAACATGCTACTGAGCGTGCAGAGACATGAATACCTCGCTCCCCTTAGTGGTGCAGATGTATGAAATTCTCGGTAGACGAGAGATTTATGGCAGCGCTGAGCTGAGAAAAAGCATAAC